AATAATGTTTCACAATATAAGCATATATATAAACAATATGACTAAAAAAAAAAAAAAAAAAAAAAAAAAAAGAAAAGAAAGCGGAAATTAAAACATAACAAGATGAATTAGTCATAAAAATTTATCAATTACATACCACCAATATACCATATTGATGTCGGTTGACCAGTGTCCATATCAATCACAAATATTACTAACTATCCCGGCTCCTCTTTGACCTTATGTAATGCATGCACATTCAAATACACACCCCTTCTTTTATCATTCTTTTCGCTCAATCGTGGTCTTTTGCCAAGAAACATTCTTACATCTGATAGTAAATAATATTTTGGCTGACATAATTTTGATAATATACGAGCAATTGATATACCTTTTGCAACCTAAATTTTAATGACCTTTGCTCTTTTGGCCTTATCATTTATATTCCGCCATTCTATATCTTTTCTCTCTTTTGATATCACCAGGATTTTAGACCCGTTTTCCTGGTAATCTCAAACAAATTCTTCTTCGTCACTTTACCACGCGAAATATTTCCCATCTTAAATGTGATTTTTAGAAAAATTGAAAATGGAAAAGAGGGAGAGAGAGAAAAGAAAAGGGAGAGAAGGGAAGGGAGAGAAAGATGATTGGAATGTAGAAAAAGGTAACGAAGAAAAAAGATTTATAAAGAAATTTTTCTTTTATAAAAGTAAGAAAAATTCTTTTTATAAAAAAAAGAAAAAAAGATTTGTAAAAATTCAATTATAAAGCGATCGTTTAAAATGTTGCAAAATTTTCAATAACAGAAAGGAAAAGTAAATCACAAAAATTATTTTAATTAATTAGATAATTAGATGAATGTTTATTATTGAAAGAGTGTGTAATTATTAAAGAAAGCACAGAAGTGAATGAGGAATTGAAGCGGAAATATACAATGATTCATTGCTTTATTGTAATTAATAAGCTTTCGAGTGATGTTAATTAAATTTTAGTGACAAATTCTTTTCCTTTCTTTCATTTTTTTTTTTCTTGAATCTTCGAAATAAAA